TTCCGTATGCCCCATAATGTGTATGACCCGGATATACGCCATTTGAAGGCACATTCCATGCGGGAACGGTTCACAAATAGGCCTCACTCAATTATTACGCTCGCGAAATACTATCGAAAAAACTCTTCATGAAACTTGGGTTACGGCGGTTATCCGATGCTCTGTTCATGAACACGACACTCATTTTTGAATATGGCAAAATATGTCGCTAATTTGGTGCAAAGGCTTTCTCGTACTACCATCATTGTGCAGTCTGCGCGGCAAGGGATTATTTACGCCAATATGCCCCCAATGGTCCTAGCGCGGCAAAAAATTAGTGGCATCGAACGGATCAGGACCATCATTACCCCTACGTATAGATTACCCGACGAGCAGAATTTTCCCGAGCCGGTTCTTGTTATTGTGCCGAGCCATGTCTCACATGGCTATCAGCCCCCCCAAGGAGTCTTATCCAACATCGTTAAGAGGAAGCTTTTCATTTGCTAGTATGCAGACGCAGAATTAAAAACTACACAAAAAAAGTGACGCACATACACTGCACTCCTCTCATACCTTTGATATGAGAAGAAAAACCTTTCTTCGGGCAAGTGGTAACGAGTTCTTTGTCGAAAGCATAGACGGTAAAAGTGAAGAAAGATCCAGGATGCTGCGTTTAGATGAGACCGAGAAGGCGATGCTGCCATAAGCCCTCCCCCCCCCAAAGAAATTGCAGTGTACCTCAACTGGTATCCAAATAATGGCCACTTGCATATTCGACCTATTCAATTTCTTTTCATGTTCAGTAGGAGAACACTTACAAACTCTACGTATTTGTCTTACAGCTGAAGATGCGAATGAGATGATAAAACTTGCGTATTTTGAGCGATTGTTTTTATTCCTTTTTTGACATTCCCAATAGCGTTTAGCAAAAATGAAACCCATCTGTGTGGTCCTTGTATGGACCCCTACAACATGCAACAAATCGTTTTGAAAAAGCTCACCACGGCCTGAACGACCTCCCTTGTAAGATATAGACAGCATCTTCCTCTTCAGAGAAATGCTTCATTTAAAAACAATTCATTCCAATCATACTATGAATGCAGGCTCTGGTAGTATACAGTTATAATACAGTAAAAGCCACCGGGTGAGGGATTAAAACAGACATAACATTGTAAGGTAATAGAAAACAGACATTAATGAATATTACGGGAAACAATGAAAGATGTGTTAAATTGAGTGTTAAGGACAAATCTCGGGAAGAAAAGAAGGAATATTTGGGAACAGCGTCGCAAATATACCTTAAGAACGTCTTCTGGATTTCTACGATCCAGAGAACACTGGCAGAATGAACCCGCATTTTGTACGAAGCGAAATGGTCCAGTTAAACCTGCCCTCTTATTTACTAGTTTTCACTTGTTTACAGGGCTAAGCGAAAGTGAATCCGAACATTTTGGAACATGGAAGTGAACGATGTCAAAACCAGGGAAGTGTAATGCTACAGGGCACATCATTACCCAACCGGGGGGGGTCGTATTTGCTATTGTTAGAGATAGGTGGAAGCCGATTTGGCCTCTAGGTTTTCTTGAGAGCGTTTGTGACTTTTCGTCGGTTTTTCATGTTCCATATGCGCTATACCCCTTCCACTATACGCCCCTCTCCCCTCGATAGCTTCTAACCGATCAGGAAGAGGCTCGCCAGCCACCTTTCAGCGAGGGGGCGGGGCGTGCAGACTCGACCAGATCCCCAACTAGGATTAGCCCTGTATGTCCTAATTTGTTGGCACGCTTTTTCTCTAACTAATCGGAATTCGGAACACGGAAGACGTTGTGTAATCTTGTGCTGGTTGAAGAAAAGTTTATCACAACATTTCTCGAGAATCAGTAGATGCAGGTCTTTCATAGGTAATTTCCTTGTTGAAAGCCTCTCAACTTCTCGTGCATGGCCTATGGCGTACCAATAGATTCCATTGCCATCGCTTGACACAGTAACGCGTGAACCACCTAAGTCACGCGAGCGGTCGCCAGGCGGTCGTGCAAAGTCACGACGAGCGTCACGAATTGCGATGTCTCGTGTAACACTGCCACCCCCTCGATCAATATTAAGACCTCCACTACCAGGGCCATAACCACTATCGCCATGGTACATATTGTTGCCATAGCCGTCTCGACGTGGCGGATATCCTCGATGAACACATATGGCCTGTAAGAGCGGCTACCATAGCCACCATAGAGATGATCCGGAGTACTGTAGGTCTCCTGCTCATGTGCAAGCAATCCTCGATCGTCGGAATCACGTCCACTTCCACCATATCGTTGTGATTGCAATGCTGCGGAGCCTTTTGACATCGCTGCTGATGAATGAATCGTTCAGCAAATCCAGCTGAAATTCAATGCACAAACCATTTCATCTCATGCGATCAGTAATGGGAACTATTCAGTTAGACAATCGATTATTGATCTGTTATGCGAAAGAAGTGGGATGAAAGGATTGAAGGATTACTCGATCGCATACCTTTCTTTGTTTCGGTCCTTCGTTTCATTAGAAGCCAAGCGAGAGTGCCAAGAATTGCTAATAACAATACTGCAGCCAGAATAATAAAGATAATCATCAACCTGAACCACTTATTTGATTAATTACCATGATTTTTCTATACAGTACTGTTAATCAGTTGCTCCGCACTGCGTCTGCAAGCATCTTACCGCCGAAAAATGGGAACTTCTAAGACATATTCTATGATTTATTGACCAGTGGATCCTTCTCTGGGTGGCTAGGTCCGCAACTGCAGAAAACCGAAGCACAACATGGAAAGCTGGAGCTTTATGATAGCTCTGTGTTCTGGAAGTTCCTGCCCGTCACTCGAAACGCCATACGGCCAGGTGATAGATGCTGCTCGGCTGCGCGCTCTCACCGAGATACTGCACGGTGGTATCGGATCCAGACCAGACCGAATTAATCGTACTTTTGAATCACCTCTGCCACTTCGACCGTAACTGAGCCCACCTGACACTATATCAGTGAGAGTGCGCAGACAAGAGAGGCGTGTATCACGTGGACCTGTAGCGGGTCGAAAAGTGGGTGGAGAGATTAGGAGCATCAAGCCATCATAAGCCTGCAACTTTTCAAGTTGCGACAATGGTGCACTTTTGCGGCTTCAGACGATCGTGATTCTGCGCAAAGAGGATCCATTTTTAGGCCCACGTCCATTAGGAACCACAGTATGACTTTAATCGTCAGGCATAGAACACCCTCTCTGCTTTCAGCCTTGCTGCAGGACTCGATTTCCAAGTTTTCTTTCTGCAGAAATACTGGTAACTTATTCTCAACAAGGAGAAACATAGAACCTAGGTCTCCGCCCTTTACTCAGTTCTCGGCCCACATTTCTCTCGTTTATGTTGCTGATTTTCTGCGAATTCAGGTCCTCTTATACGTATCCCTGCAAACGAAAGGGCGTGTGAAAGGGACGTGCATTGTAGCGCAGTCAGAAAGTCTTTCCCGACAAATGCTGCGGACCCAGGATGGCATCACTGTTGGAGAAGGGCGCCTTGACAGCCCTTTTTCCCGACAATGGGTCATGGGTGTGCTTATACAGTAGCAATTACGGCCATCAAAATACAACAAAATAAGCCAGAAGAAAGGAAAGAAAGGAAAAAAAGGAAAAAACGAAAAAGCCTTACCAGCCTTACCATAAAGGAATAGTAGCCGCTTCGGGTATACAACAAGGTGCGCCCACAACACTCCAAGTCATCGTCACATCTGAAAGAGAAAATTTTCAAAATATCCATAATGGTAGTGAGAACATTATTCATTTGATCATACCATTTACAGAACAATACGGGAAAGGGTTGCAAGAACGATGAAGGCTCAGGCAACAACTGAAGAGACACGGGAGCCCCTTTCGTACTGAGCGTGACACTTTCAGGACCGAGAACATGTGATGAGAGGTGACGCTGTTTGCCACACGCCAATCGGGTGAAACCTTGGGTCAGCTTCCGAGCGGGCAAACCAGGTGTTTCTTCCCACCAGGGTCGGCTAGCTGGTACCGGATTTTAGTGAGAGAATAAAAGCATTGAAGAGGCGAAATTCCAGTGGAAAGGGCATTAATATTCCTGAAGAAGTTAGAAACTATAAACTGCGTGGCGCTTCGTAAAGGGGATAGTCAAGCAATGAAAGCTGTTTTCTTCGTTTCAGGAAAGAAAGATAAATTATAAGCAAACTTGACCCTAAATGAGACTCGAACACACACCTCATGCTTTCCGGACGAATGAGAAATCAGCTACTAGGACCGCTCTTACCCTCTTAACTAGACAGCTTTTATGTAGCAGCCTTACACTATTCATACGTCCAACATGGTGAGCCGGCTTTGGTGCCAGTTGGCGTCTATTAGCGCCAACTGGCGCTAAAGCCAGAAATGACTGTCATATTCGTGATCAGGTCACTAAAAATCCCAGTATGCAAGTTTACAAAGAACTTAGTGTAAAAGGTGGCCTCTCCAATCTGGTACTTGATTGCGCCAAATTGGCGCCAGATGACGCCAGAGCTGGGATCAAATGTCGTGTTCTTGATCAGGGAATCGAATCTTCGCTGGAAGGCAGGGATAGCCGAGTGGTTAAGAGTGTAGACTCATGTTCACACCCTGAGCCACGAGTTCGATCCCTGCCGAGGCACAAACCTGCCTTGCAAAAATGGGGACGATACCAGCGTCAGGCCCAGGTTGACAGGCCGGCTGATGGAGGAACCCGTCACAACAATCATGACAGTATCAGTGTTAAAGCTAGGACGTCACCCGGAAGTGGCGCGCAGAACCCTCGCCCGAGTTCTGTGGTCAGTATGCGAGGGCTACCGAGGGGTGAACGACCTCGGCCAAAGAAGCTAGTTCGAATTGGGACCCTGAACGTGGGGTCGCTTACCGGGAAGTCTCGTGAGGTTGCCGACCTCATGAGACGAGGAATATCC